ATTCGTTGCGGACGCACTGCTTGAGGAGTTGGTATGGGTTGTTTGTGAGGGCAATTTCGTACCAGACGCCAGCATACTGAAATATTGATATTATAATAAATAATAATAATAATAATGAAACAAAGAGAAGAAAGGAAAGACATAATATGATCGTGATGAGAAGAGACTAAAGGAAAGAAGAGAGGTGGAGAGAGAGGAAAAAGAGAGAGAACCTGCTAGGATTTACTGACATACAAGCAACACATTGCATTCAACAAACCTTCGAATGGTTAGGTATTTGTTGTTCGAAGAGAGCTTTCTCGTTTACAGCTGGACACTTTCCTGGTACTAAGAAGTCAGGGATTTTGTCAGCTGCAACTGCTGCCACAAAGGCGACGAAGAACACAGCAGATTTCATGATTTCTTTCTTGCTTTTCCACAACTGATCCTGCTGTAGAATACGCGACTCCAGCTTTATATAGGAATGCTTAACATGGAGAGAGGTTCAAGATAAGGCAAGATTACCTATTTGCATTGCATTTATAACGGGAAAAAACTATTTTCAATCTTGGTATACAAATTAAGGATGTATTGAATTTCATTCTAATATCAAGTACATATTTTATAATAATACTGACTTAAAAAACAAATAAACAATGAAAAGAGTGAAAACAATAAATCGGAGTTCGTGGCAACATGACTCGCAGAGCTCCGCCTCCGAGAAGGTAAGGTCCACCCACAGGTTTGAGGCAGGTATAAAACTAGCCACGTGGGGACTAAGGGTTACATTCACGATTCTCAGGGAACAGAATTTGTTATTCACCGTAGACTGTCATCTGAGATAGCATTATGTTTTCCACACTCGTGGCCGCTACCCTTGTGGCCCTTGTCTCTGCTGACGGCATCCCAGACTTCGTTGTTCCTGGAAAATGCGCTAAAGTGGCCAACCAGGACAAGTTCGATCTTCGCAAGGTGTGATTTTATTGGTATTATTTATATTGCTGGGAATTATGTTTTAAATGTGACTGAGTAAACAAGTCTACGTTTACATTGTTTTAATACTGTGTCTTCCCAACAGTACTCGGGCCGCTGGTATCAGACTCAGATCATCGACAACGCCTATCAGCCATTCACTCGCTGCATCCACTCCAACTACGACTACTCTGACTCTGACTACGGCTTCAAGGTGACCACAGCTGGATTCAGCCCCAGCAACGAGTACCTCAGAATGCAGGGCAAGATCTACCCCACAAAGGACTTCCCTGCTGCCCACATGCTCATTGATTTCCCTACCGGTACGTGTGTAAACACTTATCCTTGCGGGTATGTTAATGTTTTGTGGAATCCAATGCTATATTACTAATATGTGTAGTTAACTCCACCTAATGAATTTCCTTTCATCAACAGTTTTCGCCGCTCCCTATGAAGTGATCGAGACTGACTACGACAGCTACTCGTGCGTGTATTCCTGCATCGAAATGAGCGGCTACAAGGCCGAGTTCGGCTTCGTCTTCTCCCGCACCCCACAGACTTCCGGTCCAGCGAACGACAAGTGCGCCTCCGTCTTCCGCAAGAACGGAGTCGACTTCTCCTCATTCAGATGTTGCTCATACGGCCGAATGCGTCTACAGAGCATAGACATCAAATTCGTTACATATATTGTCACATACATACAAACGATGTATAGAAATCAGATATAATCAAATTAAGTGTGCGCTTTAAATAAAAAGTCGAAAAATACGGTTTATTATACTTCTATATATCATTATTTATAGTTATGATATAGACTATTGGTCTTTCTAAAATTGAACTTTATAAGTCAACTGCACACAATTTCTACAGCTCTCTTTAGTACATGAACAAAACTGAATATTCCCAGCAGATTTTAAAAATATCTTCCTCATAGCTGTCTGAACTATATGTACATTTATTAAAGTAGAAACAGGCTTTGAATACACACACTAAAACAACTGAAAAACCTTACCGAACCTAACCTTACAAATACAGTCAAACTGACAACACATATTCATATACCTAGAGCTACAATGTAAAACACACACACACACACACACACACACACACACACACACACACACACACACACACACACACACACATATATATATATATATATATATATATATCCTCCTCGCAGTATTTTTTTTTTTTTCTCATCGTTACTCGCTGTCGACTAGTGGTGTTTTGTAGCTGTTATCTTGCTGGTGATTAATTTTGTTGTGTGAATATGTAGAAAGCAAAACGTATATTCAGAACAATATATATGTAGTATTAGCACACTTCCATGCAATAACAAACATTAATACTGATATGCGATTATAATAAAATCGTATACCATAATTTCGTCAGCATCAATTTAGGACAAAGTAAATAAAATTAGTGATGTGAATCATAATAAACCCTTTACAATATCACCATCACTACCTGGACAATAAATTTAATCATATACATACATTCCTGTACACTCTTCCACACCCCGCAGACTCCCGGTCCAGCGCCTCCGTCTTCCACAAGTAGGAGTCGACTTTTCATCTTTTAATGCAATTTTCACACAACCAAATGCACTTGGAAAGCTTACTTCCATGGCATTTTATGTGGTTAACACACATCTTATATGAATGAATTGTTATATCACATGGCAGCGTTTGTAGATAACATAACATTATGAGATGCTCGTGTACGCATCAGTGAGACACACACACACACATATGTGTGCGTGCACGCATACGCACACACATATATAGACACATATGCATATTTCTTTTAATATATCTATAGACTCAAATAAACTCATTGAGGTTGCCTTCATTTTCATGCAAGCGTTTTTTTTTTTTTTTTTCTTTTCTTTTTAATAACACAAACTCTGATCTTTCGTTTTCAAACAATCATGTTTACAGCAAACGTAGGTAGAAAACGTGTATGATTCTTTAAAGTATCAGTTGACATCATTCTATTTCTAATTTTATTTTCGCATGTATACGTTTTTCCATTAAAATCATGAAAATGGATATCAAGGGACATTAGAATTGAAGATTTTTTTTTTATTGTG